TTCTGGGAGCTGGCTCATTACTTTAATTGGATTTTCCAACGTGTTGAGCAAGTCAGCAGATTCGCATTAGCCTTACTTTCAGAGGAGCTGTTTCCCTCTGTAGAGGGGAAGGAGAGAGAGGGGGAGGCAGTGGGCAGTGGAGAGAGGGTGTCAGAGCTAATGCAGGATGACAAAGCAAGCAGGTTACGACGTCCTCGTTAATTGATACAGTCGCACGTGCATGTAGGTGTTAAGGGCGGGGGTGTATGGGGGTACCCTTTGCAGAGCTGTGCTGCTCTCACACAGGGAAGAACAGCGGTGGTGCTGAGTCACTGCCCCCCGCCTCCCCCGAGGCCCACACAGGCCAGCCAGAAACTGCCCTGCAGCGTGAGGACCCACAACTGCTTCTTGGCTCCTGTGTTGGAATCTGGTCAATTAGTGAACAAGGCAGATGAGCTGCCTCCCCTTAAGGAACATACCTTCTAGAAAAGAAAGACAGGTGGCAAATCAGTAAACAGGTAACGAGACCATTTCATTTTGTAGCAAAGCTATATAGGGGTAAAGAAAAAATAAGGGCATAGATGTGTGTGTGTTTATATACACAGGAAACTTGTTCCTGAAGTCATTTCCAATGGCTGGAATTACAGGGCCAGTTTGTATAATGTCTGGGAGTGTTTAAGCAGTTGTAAGGAATAAATGGTTATTTTTATCAAAGCCAATATTAATTACAGTTTATTTGCTTAAACAAGTCATTTTTGCATCGTTATGCAGAACGGTAGACCTCAGCCACCTCCTGTCTGGTTTATCCCAAATTTTTTGGTGGGCTTGATGTATATGCTCCTAGGGGAAAATTCCCCCCCCTTTTTTTATACTTATTTATTTGGCTGTGTCGGGTCTTAGTTGCGGCATGCGGGATCTAGTTCTAGTGACCAGGGATCAAACCCACGTCCCCTGCATTGGGAGCCTGGAGTCTTAGCCACTGGACCACCAGGGAAGTCCCAGGGAAATTTCGCCTTTGTGAGGAAGGAAATGAACAACAGTTTGTTTGGAAAGTAGTGTCTTTACCCAACTACACCTCATTCCTGCAATGGTCTTTAATGTGTTGTGTGCTTAGTAAAATGGAAAAGATATACTTCTTAAAACATGCCCTCTAACCTTGTGTAATCTTGAATCACATAAAGAACTTACGTTAATTTAACTTTATTGATAAAGGAAATGGATTGAGAGTAAATGAGAGTGGAGTAATCAATAGGACTTCGGTAAAGTAAATGGGAAATAATTATATAATAGAATTGAAAGGCTTCTTTTAAAAATCTGAGGATTCTGAAGGTGATACGGGAAGTCTGTCCACTAATATTATTATTGTGTTATGTTGGCTGCATTGCCCATGGGATGCTTTTGTTATGCATCCGTTTGCAATGAACAGTTTGCTCAGGTCATGAAAAGGATTCCTGAAAGAGCCGGAAAATTAAAAACAAACAAACAAACAGGAAAATGACAGAATCCTACACCTGTGAAGCCTTGCGACCCATCCCTGTCACAGAGCAACACCTTCAAATATCTGAGAGAGTAGGTGTTCTTAGTTGGGATGGCCAAGGAAGGGACATTTAGTTTTGCCCAAATATGTCCTAAACGTTTCCTCCTCTTTAGATTGCTCTGTTCTCTCTGACTTCTTTCAGTATCTTTATAATAACAGACAGTTACTATTCACTTAACACAATCTCCTTTGCCAGTTTTTATAAATTAACCTACCTTTTCACCAGGAAATGAGTTAGGAGGAGTCTGTAAGTTTAAATTTTTTTTCCTGTGGCCTTTTCATAGGATCATCACTGGGAAGATTCTCAATTCATAATACACGGTTATTTTGCCTTCTTGGTTTCTTATCAGCCCCCAGGAGTATGTGAGTGGATAACCACAGAGAAATTCTTAATTCTTGGGGTTTTCCACCAATGCGACTGCAGTCCAGTGCCAGCCCATATGACTGGGCCGAAAGGTGATGCCGTGTGTTCGTTGTGTGGTCAGTACGCGGTTTTTGAGGGACTTTTCCTTCCCAATAACCCCCACATTGAGTACAGACCACAGACTTGCACGATTCTTTTATTGTTACTTTGTAACACAGCCTTCAGGCCAAGGTGGCAATGACGTTTATGTATTTTTTGGTTTTTCCTGCTTCATTTCCCGAAGGATGAGAGACATTGGGGAAAGCCTTGATTCAGGACTAATAGTTAAAAATGCTTTATGATCACTGTCTCTTCATGTTTTGTTTTAGAATTTTTACTTTTTTTGAATCCACAGTGTAGTACATGTTACCCCCCGGACTTGCAGAAGGTACACAGTACAAGGCTCCTCTCCCACCCTGTGTCCTTGCCCTACCCCTACCCCGTGTCCATCCCTGGTGGGGACCGATGTCAGCAGTTTAGTCTGTATCCTCTCAGAAAGAATTTAAGCATGGACATATTTTTTTCCTCTTTTTATACAAATCCTTGTACACCATGAATACTGTTTTTCACTTTGCTTTTATCACAAAACAGTTTATCTTGGAGATATTTCCAAAGTTAGACATAAAAAGCTTTCTCATTTTTATGGCAATTGTGTAGAACTTCCATAATTTATTAACTGGTCCCCTACTGATAAGCACTAAACTTAGCATCAGTATAAACATTCCTGAAGAGAAGACCCTTGTGTTTCCTTCATTCTACAGATATTTATTGAGTACCTGCTCTGTGCTATGCAGTGTTCTAAATTCTGGAAGCATAGCAGTGAACTTACCCCAGTCTCAAAGAGCTTGCATTCAGATTGGGAACACAGCAAACAAATAAGGAAACAGATACAGATAAAGGGTTAAGGAAACAGATACAGATAAAGGGTTAAGGGCGGTAAGTATTGAGATGAAAATGCAAGATCTCCACGAAGAGAGGAAAGGTAGGTTCTGGCTTGATGAGCGGAGACCCCTGCCTCACTTACCACCATCCACGCAAACGCCCAAAACCCACAGGGTAGCAGGATGCAGGGGGCTTGTGACCCAGGAATGAGACTGTTGGGGACTCGGAGCAAGATGTTATTCCCACTGCCTGTCTGGGGTAGAGAATGAGTCCTGTTAATCTTTGTTTCTCCCATCTCATACCCAAAGCCAGTGTTTTTCAACCTTTTCTTTTGTTATTACTACTTGCAGACTCCCACCCCAAGGAGCTTTTTAAAACATAGTCTTTGGGCTGCCCTGGTGGCACAGTGGTTGAGAGTCCGCCTGCCGATGCAGGGGACACGGGTTCGTGCCCTGGTCCGGGAAGATCCCACATGCCGCGGAGCGGCTGGGCCCGTGAGCCATGGCCGCTGAGCCTGCGCGTCCGGAGCCTGTGCTCCGCAACAGGAGGGGCCGCAGCGGTGAGAGGCCCGCTAACTCAAAAAAAAAGATAGTCTTTTCCTAATAACTTTCTCTGTGAAATTTTAATACCACAGATATTCTCTATATCAGTTTACATACTGTGACCCTTTGGAAAGCCACAAACCGTTGTCTGTAATCATATTTATTATTATTAATTAAACATTATAGCTATTATATATATTATCAATAATAATGTAATTATAAATTATGTCTTATATTACTGTTATTAATTAAATATAATGTTTGATTATTATTGATAATTAAATATTAATGTTATTGATATTATTTTCACCCCACACCCTAAGACCCAGTGCCCTTGACCTCCCAGAACGTAGGCTGTGCATCACGGCCCTCTCACTGTTGGCCGGCCTGCCAGCCCGGCTGTTTCTCTGCATGGGTGGTGGTGAGATTGCAAAGATGGAATGTCTTGGTAGGAATCTCTTTGTCTGAAATAAAAAAGAAAGAGATGGTTGTTTCTGACCCGAGTCGTCTGGTGGTGTGCGTTGGAAAACTGCCCTCGTGTGTCACATTGGTGGTCAGGGAGGGCAAGACGTGGAGTGACTTGGAGCTGCAGGAAGCCTCGGATGAGAACCACGGGACAGGGCCAGGGAGGAGTTCAGGGCTGGAGGGAAGGTCTCCCCGCCCTGCCCCTCTGTTCCCACATTGCCGTATTCGAATTTAACATCCCATAGGATTTTTAAGGTAATAAACACTTCCCAGGTGTCAGGGAGCACACCAGCACTTTCCCCGGGCATTAACTCATTGCATCTTCACAGCAGCCACCCACGACAGGTTCTGGTAGCCTCGCTTTAGAGCAGTGGTTAAGAGGGTCACGCACAGAGCCTGTAAGTGTCAGTGTTGCTTCCTCTCACACCACCTTCTCCCTCTGCCTGACCTCATCATGCGTTAGAGCTGGTTACGTACTGACTGCGTCTGCCCCTGGGTCGTCAGCCCTCTGTAGGCAGGCCGTGTTGTGTACATCATCGCACCCCCGTCCCAGGCCCTGGCATAGCGGGTGTCACAGAATAGGTACTTCGTAAATGAGCGATGGAAGGGTGGTTGGACGGGTGGGCGGCCTGATAAATGAATACGCTCACACATGAGTAAAATTCCTTCTCGAATGAGAGGACCCGCCAGCCTCTCCATCTGTAACTGGTGCTGCGGGTCCCTGCGGTCTCAGTTCCACGCTGCTGGAACTGGTTTCGCCAAGATGCCAGGGCTCCCCCTGAAGATGGACTGTATAGCGCTTCTCAGCCCTTGTTTTCCTGACTCTTTCCACACTGGCCCGTCCCTCCCTTGGTTTCCCTGCCACCCTGCTCCCCAGTTGGGTACATTCCTTCCCCCTCTCTCTGTAGACTGCTCTTCGCACCACCCTAAAATCAAGGAGACCCAGGCCACCGCCCTGGAACAGTGAAAAAACCCCTGCTCCAGCTGTAGATTGCACTTCCTAAATAGCTTTCCTTTTAACAGAACTTGGCACCGAGGATACAGTCGCGAGCAGGACCGTCGCTGTGTCTGCCCTCGTTTCACCGAGCTTATGTGTGAGCGGGGTGACTGTGCTCAGTCAGCATCGGCCGGTTTTGCTGTCCCACGTGCACCTTCTTTTTCTCACCGTCTCCCGTCTTTGTTTGCTTTTCAGCTCCAGGGCCTGAGCCACAACGTGATCTTCACCTTGGATTCCTTGTTGAAAGGAGACCTAAAGGGAGTCAAAGGAGTGAGTGTTGAGAAATTTGACTTTCAGTTTAGCTTGAAAGGGTTGCCTTCTTTCTCTTCTAAGACCCCAGTGGTACTCATGTCTGAAAGGCACTCTGAACGTTTTCAGCATAAAAAATGCCGTTGGAAAATGATCATTAGAAAAAAACACACCGCTTCACATGGCGCTATTGCCCGAGAGACAAGATGAGACGCTCAGGAAGACCGGGGCGGCGGGGGGCGTCTTCGCTGAGTCTGGGCTCCCCCCTGGAGGACCCGTGGACCCACCTCTCAGAACCACTGGGTCCTGCCTCATCGTCGTGACCGGGAACGCACACCGTCCCACTCTCTTAGCTTCTCGGGTGTAATAAGTTGTGTGACGTGCCTGAAAGTGTCCTGTGTGAAGTTTCGAGTGTCCTATAAAGGAGAGCATTTCTGCTAAGATGTTACTGGAAGATTATACACCTTTAAGCAAAAGTACTTTCAATCTCAGTTTTATTTTCTCTTTTTTAAGGATCTCAAGAAGCCATTTGACAAAGCTTGGAAAGATTATGAGACAAAGTTGTAAGTGTTTTTTTTTTTTTTTTTTTTTTTGGTTGGTTGCTTGGTTTATTTGTTGTGAGTATTCTAAGAAAAAGAATAACTACAAGGACAGAGCCCTGAACTAATAGCTTTGAGACAAAACAGTGTTGAGTCCATCCTCGTAAGGGCTGAGAGGGTGGGTGTTCTGACCTGATTAGAAGTGCTGACACCTCCCGTGCTAGTTGTGTCTGGAGTGAGATGTACTTTCACTGTCGGGTATTTGGGCATCCATGGCTGATACGAACTGTCAAGTTGTAGGTCTGTGACTGTTGCAACTTTTCTTTCGTTATAGATAGCACATAACTGGAGACCATTTACACATTTCAGGATAGCACGGCAACTGGGCAGTACAAATAATACCCAGTGTGTGTGACATCTGTCTGCCCACCAGGGCCTGTGCAAAGTGCTTTACATGCATGACCTCCTCACAGCAACCCTCTCTGTGTGCACCTTGCACTGTCTGTTTATGGCTTAGGAAACTGAAGCTTAGAAAGGCTGAGGGGCCTGCAGAAGGTTCTAAGGCTAATAAATGTCGGGCTGGTGTCCCCTCCGGTCTGTGTAACCCCAGAGCCGGAGCCGTGTGGCGTGACGGCAGTCAGAGGCCTGCGTGCTGGGGTTATCATGCGGGATGACAGGGAGGCCGCACGTGAGGTCTTGTCGTGGGCCTGACTCATCCTTATGCAGTACCGGTCCTACCACATCCCTTTGTGATTATTGCTCTGAGGCATTTGTAACCAGGCTGTGGAGTGGGGTGGGAGGAGAAATGTATTTATAAACATTTAATAGAAGTCTTAGCTATAAACTTGGATAAGTACAAACATGAGAGAATAAAAGCATTTCCGTAGGCAGCAATAACAGCAGAATGAAAACACAAGCCAAAGAAAAACAAATTCAGGACTAAGTTATGCCCGCCCGTCATGTTTCTTCTCAAGAGTCTGTAGCTTCCTGCTTTCTTCCCACCCACACCAGTGGAGAGAGAGCTGAGGTTTATTCTCCTTCTGGTAAAATCCCTGCCTTCACACCCATTTAACCTCCAAGGTGGTGTGATGAAAAGAGTTGCTTAGGTATGACACGAGGGTATTACAGTGCATCCCAGCCAGGTCTGTAGGTTTTCCATTGGGTCGATGGCTTGATTTTCCACTGTGTTTGTATGTAGACAAGGATATTGGCTTTCTTTGGGGTTTGATATCCTACCCCACAATTTAAAAGAAGACTTGAAGGCTAAATCAGTCTTTGCTTTCACAACTAGAAATTATAGGCTCTTTCTGAAATTAGAAGTCTGCTTTCAAATTAAATGGATTTTCAGAAAAAGGGCTGTGACCCCTGGTGTTAATACCAAAGTATCAAATGTCATAGCCAAGCATTAGCCTCGGGTACCATAGGTTTAATGTGGTCCCTCCCTCTTATTGCCCTGGTTGCTTCCCAGCTGAAGAACATTTTCATAGCATTCCAAATTATAGATTAGGATTTCTTCTAAATCCTTATTTTGTACAATCCAGTGCCAGGTGGTTGAATGATTAAAACGTTACTGCGGTATGAAAACAGCCTAAGTTTAGAGAAATATTGGAAATTGCTTTTGACTAATTTACATGCATGTCTACAAAGACCCATTATCTACTTTGTCTTGAATTAACTCTTAAATCTCAATCTTTTGATAATCAAGATATGCCTCAGGCCTCCAACCTTCTGATTCTTTTTCATCGTAAGGTGCCTTACTCTAGAAAAAGTAAACTGTCAAAATTACTTGATGCCAACCAAAATATAAGAGAATTTATATGAATCCATTCATGTGGGAGATCAGAGTTAAAATGTAGGAAGTCTCCTTGGTGAAGATCCATGCAATGTGTTGATCCTCTTTGAACTTAGATTTTCACTTTTGATCGATGCTATCCATTTAAGAGTTCCTGCCTCCTAACTCTGGTAATTAAGAAATAATCAAGTGGCTCCCATTAAAGGAAGGACATGAGTGTGGTGTTTTTGTTTTTAATGATGGCACCTGCTTTCATTACAGTACAAAAATTGAGAAGGAGAAAAGGGAGCATGCCAAACAGCACGGGATGATCCGCACGGAGATCACCGGAGCTGAGATCGCAGAAGAAATGGAGAAGGAGAGGCGCCTCTTTCAGCTCCAAATGTGCGAAGTAAGAGCAGACTTTTCAGCCCTTTGCCTAGAATTTAATTAACTGTCATCCTTCCTGCTAGTCAGCAGTCTTTATGCTTAAATGCAGGCTGTGTTTGATGATTAGAGGAGGGGACTGTTTCTCAAGGACTCTAATCTCCACTTTTCTCCAAGCCTTTTGGGATCCGCCGTTTCACTGTTGTCTCATATTTTGAGCCTGGGTCCTATGGGGCTCTTTAAGCCAAAACAGGATTCTTTGGTGAGAACTGTACTATTGCTTGTGAGTGAGTGTGGAAAAACAATTTTGGTGAGGGGTAACACTGGTGAATATTAAGCTTTACTGGTACAGATGTACAGCATGTTGCTTTTTTTTTTAACCATGTGTCCAAGTTTGAATGAAAACTTGAAGTAGTGATTAAAGTCTGAGCTCATGAAAAAAATAAATGCAACATAAAGCATGTTGCCTTAGAGCAGTGGCTCTCAAACGGGGTTCCCATTGGCATTCCCTGACCTAGAGACCAACCCATTCTGATGCTGAGTAATGGAATTCCTTTTGCAGTTTTCAGAAGATATTAAAGGGGCTAGAATTTTCTCAGTTTCAAGATTTTCTTCCCTAATTTTTTTTCCTTTATTCCCCCCCCCCCCATTATTACCCTTTGGCTCCTTGAACTTGTCTGTTTGTGAACACTTCCATGCAGTAAAACAAGAAACAAACAATATCAGGGCTTCCCTGGTGGCACAGTGGTTGAGAGTCCACCTGCCAATGGCAGGGGACACGGGTTCGTGGCCCGGGCGGGAAGATCCCACATGCCGTGGAGCGGCTGGACCCGTGAGCCATGGCCTCTGAGCCTGCGTGTCCGGAGCCTTTGCTCTGCAACGGGAGAGGCCACAACAGTGAGAGGCCCGCGTACCGAAAAAAAAAAAAAAGAAACAAACAATATCAACAGAAAATCTTGGCCAGTTGTGAAAATCAGAGCCAGTAGTGTTTAGTGCATAAACTAATAATGCTTTTTTTTTTTCTTTCACTTTTTAGTAGCAAAAGTACTTTCCAATTCACCTCCGTGGTCTGGAAGTTTTAGTATCTTACAAGCATACCCCTTAAAGAGAATGCCATCTGTCTTTCAATCCATCTTTCAGGTTTTGACCACGTGAACTATGAGTTTGAGATCCACTGCACACTGGGGGGAGATAATCAATTATTCCAGAATGTTTTGCTGTGCTTGATTTCTGCTTGTCTAGTAAACTAATCTTAAGCATCTATAAAATGCTAACACGCTGATCCGTTTGCTTGGTGCACTTGTGACTGTGTCAAATTAGCATTCCCTAAATTGAGCTCACACTGTCTGGCGGCAGCTGAGCCTCAGTAACTCACACTGATTAACGACTGGTAATCTGATCAACGCACCACTCTGTTTTATTTCCGCAGTATCTCATTAAAGTGAACGAAATCAAGACCAAAAAGGGTGTGGATCTGCTGCAGAATCTGATAAAGTATTATCACGCACAGTGCAAGTAAGTGGACTATTGCAGTCATGATTATTAGCCCAAGTAAGGTCCCCTTCACTTCGTTGGCTTTCTTAATTCTTTCCTTTCTGGTCTTCATTTGGTCCCTGTATATAGCTGTATAATGACCTTCCACAGCCAAACGATAAGAAGTGGTTTTGTCTTCCATCTTCAGCATTTTCTATAAATCATTAACTCAAATTAGTGTAACTGTTCAGCTTCTCTAAATACTGTCTTACAAATGCTAACTTCGGCCTTGACAGCCTGTGGAGCTGTTGTCACAAATGCGCTCGACTGTCATTTTGTCACTGAAGAGGCCTTTCTAGGAACTCCCTCCCCCGCTTACTTGGCATTTTACCTATTACTGGGTCATTTGTACCACATATTCTTACTTGGGATTGTTTTTGTTTTGTTTTTTTCGTCATCCAAGTTAAGTGAAGTTAAATACTTTGGACATTAGCAATACTTGGTATTTATACTTGGATTCCTGTGTAGTTGCTGGTATATTTTGAGAGACATCCATTGTTCTACACCGGCACCATTTTTGCTTATGTTGCAGGGCTACCTTTTCATTATGTTTGACATTCTGTGTCACCACATTTGCTTAGTTTACTTCTTGCTCACTTACTGGATTAGCTTTCATTGGTTTTATTGTAGAATTTTTGTCTGAAAATGTGCCGGTTACCATTCAAGTCTGTATTGAGTCAGTGGACGTTACAGAGAATAGAGTGCAAGGACTTTCCAAAGTGGTCCAGACAGCCCTCATAGTTATTTATAAGTAGAATACTGTAAAGGTCATTAGCACTAGGTAAAATGCTTACTCTCCAAAAAGTTAAAATTTATCATTTCCTTTGGTCATCTCTCTTAATTCTTTTTGATAATGTTGTATCTAGGAGGATCTTCATGGTGAATGGCAACATTCAAGGGGGCTAGCATTAATGTGATGGGAAAAGCACCAGGCTTGAGTCAGGCAGATAGACGAGTTCAAATCCTGGCTCTGAGGCCGGGTAACCATGTGACCTTTGTCAGGTGCATCTCTAAACCTCAGTATCCTCATCTGTCAGGTGGGGTTAAGGTTCATAGGAGACCCTCCTTGGGTTTTGCAAAGATGTGAGAATTAAGTGAGATAATGCATAGGGACTGCCTCACCCAGTGCCTGCTGCACTGTGCCTGTCTGCTGCTGGGATGGTTCTAAGTGGCACTAAAAATCATTCATTCACATATTTTATTATACAGGATTGTTTCTCTTCAGGAAGATCAAACTTTTAATGATCAACTTGTTATTTACATAACTTTGATTTTACTTTTTTCCTCTTTTCAAAGTAAATTCCGCCTTGTATAGAACTTTCAGATATGTATAAAAGTAATTATAGTGAAGTAGAAATATTTGCACATTTATAATTTTGCCTGTGGAAGCCTCATACTGACGACCTGGACTAACCTTTGCCTTCGTAGTATAGCAGGTGCTTGTGACACTTTGAAATGTGTGGTGGTGGTCCCTGATTTTAGTTTAGGGTGGAATTTTCATCTTTCATCAGCTTCAGTTTTCCTAGAATATTTTGAAACTTTTACAGAAATAAGTGAATCTCTTTGTCTTCTCAATTACTACAACACTAGAGCAGCAAGTCTGATTTCACCTGATCTTAGAAATCTCTTTTGATTTCAAAATCTCTGAGGAGGATTTAACCTACACAAACATGAGTTTTCCAAAAAAGATGTTTTGTAAACTAGAGATATATTAACCTTTGTTGGTAAAGGTGAAAAGAAGAGCATCCTCCCTTGATTCTTGGCTTTTTCCCTTTCCACAAATATTTATTACTCTCTTAACAGAGGCCAGGTACTTTTCTAGGTTCTGGGGTTCAGAGGTGAAACAAGGCTTCTGCCTATGGGAGTTAACTGTCTGGTATAGGAAGTAAGTCAGGTCCATCAATAATCATAATGGGGCTGGAAAGTGACTGGTAACACAGGGCATCAAGAGAAGGAGAGACTCCTGGCGACGGAGACTACAGAGGGCTCCTTAAAGGAGGTTGTGGCACTTGGAATTGGACTTGGAGGATGGCTGGCATTTGGGCACTGGAATCTGGTAGAAGCATCTACCCTAGGGCAGAGAAAGATCAGCAGAAGGAAACCCTACACGCTGAGAACTTCCTTGCAGGGAGAGAGATTCAAAGACATCCAGTAGTAGAACTGGGTTATAATGTAATTCAACCCCAGCTGCCCCAGGTTGAGCCGCAAGGATGCCATCACAGCGAGAAACCAGTGTACCTTTCTTCTGAGGACTACTCTTATTCTTTCCTACTTCAGTCAGTCTCTCCAAACTCTTTATAGATGTGTAGTGGACCTGTAAAGCATCCTCTACTTAGATTTAAAAAGAGAAATTTCATATTCTGAGAACTTATTCCAGTTCCCAAAATGATTTTCAATACATAGTAGTCAGGTGGAGCTCAAGAATGAATTTGCTCCAGTAATCTCTCGTGTACTCATAGTACCTCAGCGGGGATACAGCTGCTACAGCGGAAAAATAAGAGGGCGCAGGAAAGAAGAGCTTTTGTCACCCGTTTCAGCTCACCCCACCAGTTACTCCTCACTTTCAGACGTGAACATTGTCAGTAACATGCTGCTTTCAAAACAAACACATTATTCTACTGCTCACCCACTCCTTTTACCACTTGGTGAGTATCATTATGGTCTCCAGACTCGAGAGCACTTACAAACATTACTTCACCATCCTTCATCTTGCAGATAATAACAGCTAGCGTTTATAAGAGCAACCAGGAAATTGTAGCTCAGAAAAGATCAGTAACCTGCCCAAGGTCACAGTCATTCACTTAAAAGATGCTCAATAAATATGTGTCAAAACAGACAAAATAGAAGAAACCAAGGAAAAAAAGAAAATGGACTTCGAAGGTAAAAGCTTCTGTGAGTGAAAGGACACTGGTAAGCAAGTGAGAGGACAACCACAGAAGGGGAGAAAATATTTGCAAATCATTTATCTGATAAGGGTGTAGTGTCCAGAATATATAAAGAACCCTTACAGCTCAACAACAAAGAGATAAACAACTCAATTTAAAAACGGGCAAAGAATTCAAATAGCCATTTCTCCCAAAAAGATATACAAATGGCCAGAAAGCTCATGATTAAATGCTCCGCATCATTAGTCGTTAGGGAAGTGCAAATCAAAACCAAAGTGTAGTGCCGCATCACACCCACTAGGAAGACCGTAATTAAAAACAGCAGTGGCGGAGTGGCGAGGCCAGTGGCACGATGGAGTGAGTCAGGGAGTGCTTACTCCTGAGATGGGCTACAGGGCAGCACGTTCCAGAGGTGGACGTCCATGTCAGATGTAGGAGGACAGCCTCACTGAGCCACCAGGAGAGTCAGCTGTACCCGAGGGGATCTCAGCAGCGGCAGCCAGTACGTGCTGTGTTTCCAGGCAGAACTGAGACAGGCACTCTTAGCTGAGACACCAGGAGGGGGTTGCAGGGTTACTGGAACACCCAGGTAGCTGTTCCAAGAGAAGAAAAGAAAAAACAGCCAACAATATAATGAAGCTGTTATCATGAAAAAACAAAACAGTAACATAACAGAAAATAAGTCTTGATGGAAAAGTGGAGAAATTGGAACCCTCAGTACATTGCTATAGAAATGTAAATGGGGGGCAACTACTTTGGAAAACAGTCTGTCAGTTCCTCAAAAAGTTTAAATGTAGAGTTATGTGTCCTAGCAGTTCCACTCCTAGGTGTATACCCAAGATAATTGAAAACAAGTGTTTAGTAAAAATGTGTTTGTGAATGCTTATAGCAGCATTATCTCCAATAGCCAAAATGTGGAAACACCCAAATATCCATCAACTGATGAATGGAGAAACAAAATATTGTGTAGCCATAAAAGGGAATGAAGCAGAAACCATAAACAAGACGAAAAGACAACCCTCAGAATGGGAGAAAATATTTGCAAATGAAGCAAGTGACGAAGGTTTAATCTCCATAATATACAAGCAGCTCATGCAGCTCAATATCAAAACAACAAACAACCCAATCCAAAAATGGGTGGAAGACCTAAATAGACTTTTCTCTGAAGTAGACATACAGATGGCCAACAAACACATGAAAAGACGCTCAACATCACTAATCATTAGAGAAATGCAAATCAAAACCACAATTAAGTATCACCTCACACAGGTCAGAATGGCCATCATCAAAACATCTACAAACAGTAAGTGCTGGAGAGGGTGTGGAGAAAAGGGAACCCTCCTGCGTTGTTGGTGGGAATGTAAATTGATACAGCCACTATGGTGAGCAGTATGGAGGTTCCTTAAAAAACTAAAAATAGAACTACCATATGACCCAGCAATCCCACTACTGGGCATATACCCTGAGAAAACCATAACTCAAAAAGAGTCTTGTACCACAATGTTCATTGCGCCTCTATTTACAATAGCCAGGACAAGGAAGCAACTAAAGCAACTAAATGTCCGTCGACAGATGAAAGGATAAAGAAGACGTGGCACATATATACAGTGGAATATTACTGAGCCATAAAAAGTAACGAAACTGAGTTATTTGTAATGAGGTGGATGGACCTAGAGTCTATCATAGAGAGTGAAGTAAGTCAGAAAGAGAAAAATAAATAACGGTGTGCTAATGCACATACATGAAATCTAAAAAAAAGGTACTGATGAACCTAGTGGCAGCGCAGGAGTAAAGACACAGACGTAGAGAACGGACTTGAGGACACAGCGGGGCAAGGGGAAGCTGGCACTAAGTGAGAGAGTGGCATGGACACATACACACTACCAAATGTAAAATGGATGGCTAGTGGGAAGCGGCTGCATAGCACAGGGAGATCAGCCCAATGCTTTGTGACGACCTAGAGGGATGGGTTAGGGAGGGTAGGAGGGAGGCTCAAGAGGGAGGGGATATGGGGGCATATGTATACATACAGCTGATTCACTTTGTTGTACAGCAGAAACTAACACAACGTTGAAAAGCAATTATACTCCAATAAAG